TGTATACTAAGTAAAATCTCTGTCCATACTGATCAGTTCAAATAAAAAAAGTCAATAAATTTTTTATAAATAGAGTTGAACTAATTGTAACATTCTGATCTATTACCAAACTAACAGTCTCGCCAAGTTGATATCAACTAATCTTATTTACTAAATTCTTACACTTTTTGGTGTCAGGGTATATGCCGTCAAGACTGTATGATCTTGATGGATCCAAGTATGGAAATAAGCAACAGCTACAAGCTTTGGTGGCGGCGCTTCACGACAAGGGGATAAAAGCCGTTGCCGACATCGTAATCAACCATAGATGTGCGGACTATAAAGACAGCCGGGGAATCTACTGTATCTTTGAAGGTGGCACGTCCGATGATACCCTTGACTGGGGTCCGGGCCTTATCTGCAAAGACGACACTGAATACTCCGACGGAACTGGCAATGCTGACACCGGCGGTGACTTTGGCGGCGCTCCGGATATCGACCATCTTAACCCCAGGGTACAAAAGGAGTTATCGGATTGGATGAATTGGCTCAAGTCCGAGATTGGGTTCGACGGCTGGAGATTCGATTTCGTGAGGGGATATGCTGGTAGCATTTCCAAGATTTACATGGATAACACTTCGCCGGAGTTCGCCGTTGGTGAGTTGTGGAACGATATGGCTTATGATTCGGATGGAAAACCATCTCAAAACCAGGATAACCACAGGAATGAGCTATCCCAGTGGGTGCAGGATGCGGGTGGCGCTGCCACCGCCTTTGATTTCACCACCAAAGGAATTCTCCAGGTTGCTGTGTTAGGGGAGCTAGGGAGGTTGAAGGATTCCACCGGAAAGCCATCCGGATTGATCGGAATTTCACCTAAAAATGCCGTCACTTTTATTGATAACCATGACACCGGATCAACTCAAAGCCACTGGCCTTTCCCCAAGGATAACGTTATCCAGGGATATGCTTATATTCTCACCCACCCCGGAATTCCATCCGTGATAAATTTTTATTCTTACATTTTTTACATAATACTAACAGATTTTGAGGTGACTGACTTGATTTTCCTTTTCTTTGGAGCAGTTCTACGATCATTTCTTTGATTGGGGATTGAAGGATGAGATTTCAAAATTGATTTCTATTAGAAATTCCAACGGGATTAGTGAAACAAGCGCCATAGAAATTTTGGCGGCTGATGCAGATCTTTACGTGGCAAGTATTGATGGCAAAGTTATAGTGAAGATTGGACCAAAAGAAGATGTAGGAAACCTTATTCCACCTGGTTTTAGCCCCGTAGCGTCTGGACAAGGCTATGCTGTATGGGGGCAGCAGGCATAAATTTTAACTTTATAGAGCATAGTTACACAAATAATATGTAATTTGTTTGAGAATAATACTTATTTCAATTCTTATTGAAATGATAGCATTAATAATATTTTCTTGTTTATCTGTAATGAATGCACTATTTACTAACATTAATTGGGAAGTAATTAATGTTACTTTCCAAACCATATAGTTAAGATTAATGTTACAATTAATTACCAACATTATTCGATAAAAAATGTTTAAATTAAAATCTAAAACCTAAGTACAAATTTTATCTATGATATGATTTGACCAAAACAAACATATTTTATTAATTATTAACCAAGTATCCTTATTTTCTGTGAATCATTGAGTCATCATAATTTACTCCGATCCTCTACTATCTTGTTGAAATGAGATATGAATCTTTTTACTTTATCTTTTTATTTTTACTTTTTAATGCATTATACACTTCTAAAATTTTAATATTAAGACCTATATCCATGTAAAATTTATAATAGTATTTATCAATATAGTCAATCATACGAGCTTCTTGGCACCATACTCTTTACCGACATTATATTAACATTTTGTTTACATAAAATCATTTTGAGAATTGAGCAACTTGCAGCGAACTATATTATGTAAGTATATGTTCATAAACTTTCTTGACCTACCGAAGCACAAAAAGTTAATACCGCCCCTTAAAGTTTGATTCTATGACTTTTCAAATTGGGAGAGCTAATTGGTGCCACCACACTACAAGGTCATTGGCAGACTTTTGTACTTATTAATTACTATGTTTGTTTATTGTTCTTATATATTACTAGTAATTCACCCGTGCGATGCACGGAAAAAATTATGTTATTATAAATATAAATAAAAAATAGAAAAACTAAAATATTTTAAATTATTTAATATAATAATATTTTTGAGCTTCCATTGGTCAAGTATTTATTATTTTTATAGAATACAAAATTACAATTAAAATTAAAATTAAAATTAAAATTTTGTATGGTTAATATAATCTATAATTATGTGGATATTCAAATAAACTTATAGAGATAATTTACATAATTACATTGATTTATTCTTAATTGTATTTCATCTATATTATAATTTTCACAATACAAATAATAACTAAGATAATTACATTTGGAAAGCAAATTTCAAATTTTGTATGTGTAAATTTAAACTCTAATTGAACATATTTTTTATATGATTATATAATATGTAGCTATTTTATTTTTCAAAAGTATATTTTTTATATGATTATATAATATATAGCTATTTTATTTTTTAAATGTTGTTTTTTTTTTTAATTTATAATAAAGGATGTTGTGGCATTAATTGTAACATTAATTATTTTCCAAACCATATAGCTTTATTATATAAAGGATTAAAATCAAACCTTTTAGTAATACAAAATGCATTATCCTTTTACTCATTTACTTTTGATCGATGGAATTAAAAATAAAATAGAAAAAAAAGTCATTGTCTATACATTAAATATGGAATTTTAATATATATATATATATATATATATATATATATATATATATATATATATATATATATATATATATATATATATATATATATATATATATATAAAAGTTTGCTCAAATGCGGCCGCACCCTCCTGTGCGGTCGTTTACATAATACACCAATAGTGTTAACAATAGACACCAACAGTGTAAGAAAAACACACAATAATGAAATGCAAAAATACACCAAAAAATACACAACACACCCAAAGAAAATACACCATATAACTCTCTACACCTAATGGTGTATTTCAGAACACGGTGTGATGCTTTTAGCCTTTTATTCATACCTAATGGTGTGTTTTTGGTGATGCGTACATAATTTGTGTGTGTTTTTGTAGTACATTTCCTAACGTTGATGGTGTATATTTGTTTAACTATTGGTGCGACCGCACCTGAACTTAACTCTCTCTCTCCCTCTCTCTCTCTCTCTCTCTATATATATATATATATATATATATATATATATATATATATATATATATATATATATATATATATATATATATATATATATATATATATATTAACAGGATCATACTAACCTCCAACCATTAGTTCTTGTATTGAGCGATCCGGTCTGCTGCAGAGCTTTGTCTCTCACTTCTACTCAGCTCTCTCTAGATGGTGTATATATGTAATGTAAGAGTGAGAGAACTAGTAACCTTATATAACCACGGGCCATCATTGTGATGATATGTTTTTAAGTCTCCTAAACCCTAACTAGACTGCTAATCACAATGGTAGTCTAGCTATTATGTTATTAGTGTTGCACCACACATCAAATACTTAACATTATCAATAATTTATCCTAATGTTATAATATAATAATATATATATATAATTTTAATTAATTAATTAATTATCTTGATTCAAATTCTTATTTACTACCCAACAAAGTAATTCCTTCTACTTAAATCCACTACTATTGTCAAGTATTCAATTCCCATGATATTTCGATTCAAATGTTTGAACCAAAAGTTTTTTGACCAATGTTATTTCATTCACAATGTTTAATGCAAATTATATTTATTGGGTAACATACTACTTCAACACGTCTAATCAAATGTTTTAGTTTCCAAAAAAAAAAAAAAAAACTACAGTTACATGCCCAGCAGGTGTGTATTGCACGCGCCCAGTTGGGCGCATTTAGTGCACAACACCCTCACTAAAATAAAGCTTTGTTTAATTTTATTTTTTTAGTGGATCTTACAAAAATCAACCCTTTCTGGCAAGAAGACATTGATTATTCTCTCCTATATGTTCTCTCCTCCATCTCATTCTTGGCTCCACAAAAAACCATCTAAAAACCACAAATGGTGGTGCTCCAATAATTAAATAAAAAATTCATTATAGTCTAGTCAATGGCTCAAGTCCCGAAGGCACAATGTGCTAAACCATGCTTGTTTAATATAAATGGTTAATATTGGACAATTCAACCAAATTGGTCAGACTTTTGATTTGATAACTATAAAATTACAAGTTCAACACTCAATAGGAATGACCTAATGACCTTATTGGTTTTAGCCGATTAACAATGAACAATCTAAATTAGTTTACCTACTCATGATTCTTTGTCAATTAAGATCATCATTTAATGTTATGAGAATAGGGGTCCAACGCGACAGGCAAAACACACATATATATAGATATATCTTTTGTCTGTATTGTAGTTTACATCTCATACATAGTTTGTGAGTTACGTGGAATAATTGTTAGTGAGAATATAGGGAGGAGGTTTTAACTTTTAAGTTTTAACCATGGTTGGAGCACTAACGGTGGAAGCATTGTTAGCGACAATATAGGGAGACTGTAACTACCTTCACGCTCATTGCTTCCTTAAACCTATCAAGAACATAAAGGACTCAAAACAACATAAAAGGAATTGAAAAACATGATTAACTGCCATCTAATCTTTTGAGATTGTCTTCTGACAAAACCCAATTAAAGTTCACATTTAACCCCATCTCGTGGTTGAAAAAAAAAGAATATAAAAGTCAATCAAATGACTCAAAACTAAATTGGAAAGGGTGTATTCTTTTGATTATCATTAATATTTAAATATTTTTAATTTAACAATAACGAAAGAGGATAATTATTATAGGAGACATTCTTGGCCTGGTATAATATAGAATGCATGTTTCACACACACATGAAATGGTGATAAGACATGAATCAATTAATGTATTATTCTGATCTCAAAGAAAATAAAAGTTTATGGTACAATATTATTTGGATAATTGTATGTGGTCTATAAAGTTAACATTTATGCCCACACAGCATAACCTTGTCCAGACGCTACGGGGCTCAAACCAGGTGGAATAAGGTTTCCTACATCTTCTTTTGGTCCAATCTTCACTGTAACTTTGCCATCAATCTTTGCCACGTAAAGATCTGCATCAGCCGCCAAAATTTCTATGGCACTTGTTTCACTAATCCCATTAGAATTTCTGATTGAAATCAGTTTAGAAATCTCATCCTTCAATCCCCAATCAAAGAAATGATCATAGAACTGCTCCAAACAAAATGAAAATCAAGTCAATCACCTCAAAATCTTTTAGTATTATGTAAAAAATGTAAGAATAAAAGTTTACCACGGATGGAATTCCGGGGTGGGTGAGAATGTAGGCATATCCCTCAATAACTCTATCCTTGGGGAAAGGCCAGTAACTTTGTGTTGATCCGGTGTCATGGTTATCAATAAAAGTGACAGCATTTTTGGGTGAAATTCCGATCAATCCCGATGGCTTTCCGGTGGAATCCTTCAACCTCCCTAGCTCCCCTAACACAGCAACCTGAAGAATTCCTTTGGTGGTGAAATCAAAAGCGGTGGCAGCGCCACCTGCATCCTGCACCCACTGGGATAGCTCATTCCTGTGGTTATCCTGGTTTTGAGATGGTTTTCCATCCGAATCATAAGCCATATCGTTCCACAGCTCACCGACGGCGAACTCCGGCGAAGTGTTATCCATGTAAATCTTGGAAATGCTACCAGCATATCCCCTCACGAAATCGAATCTCCAGCCGTCGAACCCAATCTCGGACTTGAGCCAATTCATCCAATCCGATAACTCCTTCTGTACCCTGGGGTTAAGATGGTCGATATCCGGAGCGCCGCCGAAGTCACCGCCGGTGTCGGCATTGCCAGTTCCGTCGGAGTATTCAGTGTCGTCTTTGCAGATAAGGCCCGGACCCCAGTCAAGGGTATCATCGGGCGTGCCACCTTCAAAGATACAGTAGATTCCCCGGTTGTCTTTATAGTCCGCACATCTATGGTTGATGACTATGTCGGCAACGGCTTTTATCCCCTTGTCGTGAAGCGCCGCCACCAAAGCTTGTAGCTGTTGCTTATTTCCATACTTGGATCCATCAAGATCATACAGCCTTGACGGCATATACCCTGACACCAAAAAGTGTAAGAATTTAGTAAATAAGATTAGTTGATGGATAATGAAGAAATGGAAAAAAGGCGGGCAACCTCAGTTAACTTGGCGAGACTGTTAGTTTGGTAACTAAATCAGAAAGTTACAATTAGTTCAATTCTCTTTAGAGACAGTTTATTGACTTTTTCGATTTGAGCCAATCAGTATGGACAGAGATTTACTTAGTATATATACATCTTCTGATTTCGAATTTCTCTCATCATGTACTAAAAAAAGAAGGGAAAAAGGTACCTTGGGGAGCAACAGATGCGGAGGGTGGTGGGAGCCAAACATGAGTAATCCCAGCATTAGCCAAGTCAGGGACCAAATTAATGAGGGAGTTATACCATCCACCTTGCTGCTTGCTTGATTCCCAGTTGAACCCCTAAACCAAACAACATCAAATCAATCAAAACCATACATATATATGCATATACTGATCAGATGAGATAATATATGTTGTCTGGGATAGATGAAACCTGGAATAACACAGTAGAGGAAAATGTAGGAGCAAAAATGGAGGCAAGACAGAAGCAAGAAAGAAACTGAAAAAGATTCATTTTTGAGGAATATAATATTGTATTGTATTGGTTAAAGCCAGATGAGATGATGAGAATAGAAAGGGAGTTATATATATAGGTGGGAAGTTTGAGGGTGAATACAGACTCGCAGCCGTGCTGCTGTTTGGTTTCACACTCTATGCGTCTTTTTGGGGGGCGTTACATTTCTCACTTTATTTCATTGTTAAGCGTTTCTATATTAAACCAAATTTCCTGCTAGGAATTGCTATCAAATAAATGCTTAAACATATATACCATATTTAATTTAATTTGTTATCTAAACATATATACTTTAATTTTCAGAAAAGCCTAATAGCTCTCATGAGTGTGAAACATTATGGTTTCATCGGTTTGGTTTCGAGATACCCAAAGCGATTTAAAGCTGATCCAGACTCAAAATCAAGGATCAAACCCTTCACCTTTGATTAAAAATAGATAAGCCACTCCCCACTCAATCACACCTCCAAGTTATGGGTCACCTATATTGGTTTATCTCTTTGTGTTTATTTACTAGCTAGATTCACAATACAAACTTCATCAAAAGCGCACATTTGGATCGGATAGAGACTACAAACTTTGCCATAAATCAAACTAATTATCAACTTAATTTGTGGGATGCTAATGCCAAGACAATTTTGGAAAGAAAAAAAAAAAAAAAAAACTGTTTCACACTTTATGACCTAATTAAAACATTGAATCTCCACGATTTTTCCTATATTTAGGATTGAAATATAAGAAACAAGTGATCCTAGCGTCTGCAAGTATAACTATATTTCTGGTTTTGAATATGGGTACGTAATCAAGTCAAGTCATATTCGAATAGTCAAACTCAAAACTCGGCTTAAATAAAAAAATTAAAAAATGTAATCTTGATTGAGCTCTAACTCTTTTAGTAGACTGAACTCAACTTTGAGCAATTTGAGCTCTAAGTTTGTAATTTTTACATGAAAATTATAATAATAAGTATTCATAACCAAATATCATAACAAGCTCAATGGTACATCTTGTGATTACTTAGTTTATAATATATAAATATTATTAGCTAAATTTGTAATACTCCGTATTATATTTATATTTTTATATAAAATAAATTAATAAATAAATAAAAACAATGTTCGATTAAGTTTCCAAATTATTTAAGGCAAGAATTAAGATGTTCGAATTCGGTTTGATTAGTCACTCGAATTATTGAAGCTAATATTGAGCTAAACGGGAATCAAATTTAAGCATTCATTGAATCAAACCCCAGTAGCTTAACTCATAGCAAGAAAGACACTGAAAAAAGATTCAATTTTGTTGACTATTGGACTCACCTAGATGAAGAAAAACAATGGTGAGTAACAATCTGCTTACTAACTATCACAAGTTAGTGAGGTATATTTTGTAATCTTTATTTTAATTGAAATAACTAGTGAAGCTCTGAATATTGTTTCAATAATATACAACTTAATATTGAATAAATTAACAAAATTTTAATATATATCATCATACTTGAAGATCATAAGTTCACATCTTGCCAACACTTTCTTGGTCGAGTCTATCACACATGATCCAATCGTTAATGCACACCTTCCAATAATAGTTAATAGAGAACATTATAAAATTATGTATTATTCTCAAAGAAATTAAAAGGCTAGAGGGTACATATTATTTAGATAATTATGATCTATACAGTTAATATTTATGCCTTTTTCTCCCACACGACATAATCTTGTCCAGACACGACCACATTGAAATTATATGGAATAAGGTTTCCTACATCATGCTTTGATCCAATCTTCACTATAACTTTATCATCAATTTTTGCAACATAAGCATTGGCATCAACCCCCAAAATCTCCACACTGCTTGTTTCACTAATCTCATTCGAAGTCCTAACTGAAATCAACTTTGTTATCTCATCCTTCAACCCCCAATCAAAGAAATGATCATAGAACTGCAAAACAAAGAATGAAAATCAAGTCAATAACCTTAGTCAACAAAGAATCACCAACTTGAGTTGTCGTTCACAGATTACCTGTTCATCAAATTAAAGAAGACAATAGACTGCTCCGAGTCGAACTTGAAATCTTGTGGTTACTAAGTCAACAACTTGACCAACTTTTTTAAAATCTTGTTGAATTAGTATTATGTAAAGCAGGTAAAAATGAAAGGATAATAAAAGTTTACCAAGCATGGGATTCCGGGGTGAGTGAGGATATAAGCATATCCCTGAATAACTTTATCCTTGGGAAAAGGCCAGTGGCTTTGTGTTGATCCGGTGTCATGGTTATCCACAAAAGTGACAGCATTTCTGGGCGAAATTCCGACCAGTCCCGGTGGCTTTCCGTCGGGATCCTTCAACCTCCATAGCTCCCCTAACACAGCAACCTGAAGAATTCCTTTGGTGGTGAAATCAAAGGCGGTGGCAGCGCCACCCGCATTCTGCACCCACCGGGATAGCTCATTCCTGTGGTTATCCTGGTTATAATCCGGTTTTCCATCCGAACCATAAGCCATATCATTCCACAGCTCGCCGACGGCCAACTCCGGCGAAGTATTCTCCATGTAAATCTTGGAAATGCTAGCGGCATATCCCCTCACAAAATCGAATCTCCAGCCATCGAACCCAATCTCGGACTTGAGCCAATTCATCCACTCCGATAACTCCTTCTGTACCCTGGGGTTAAGATGGTCGATATCCGGAGCGCCGGCGAAATCAGCGCCGGTGTCGGCATTGCCAGTGCCGTCGGAGAATTCAGTGTCGTCTTTGCAGATAAGGCCCGGACCCCAGTCAAGGCGATCATCGGACGTGCCACCTTCGAAGATACAGTAGATTCCCCTGCTGTCTTTATAGTCTGCGCATCTATGGTTGATGACGATGTCGGCCACGACTTTTATCCCATTGTCGTGAAGCGCCGCCACCAGCGCTTGAAGTTGTTGCTTAGTTCCATACTTGGATGCATCCAGGTCATACAACCTTCCTGGCATATAACCTGACACCCAACATTATTAGAATTTACCACAAACTAAGGTTAATTGTATAAATAAAACCAGTTCATAATGCACATGAATCAAAAATAAATAAAAATTGAGAACTCAATCAAGTTACTTATGCGGTTGACTTAGTAAGTTTGACTCTTGTGGGAACAATCTGTCTATTAGTCTTCTTAATTTGAACAGATCGGTAACATATACTGATTTACCTTTTTGTGGTCATTTGCTAACTAGAGTTATAAGATGAGGTTTATCTAATGCACATCTGATTGTTGAACATAAATGTACAATCTAACTATCAACTTAGACTTTTATTTGGGATGGAGCACATGCTACAATTCTGATTATGGGTTTCCTCATCATAAAAAAAATATTAAAAAAGAAGAAGGAAGAGAGCACCTTGGGGAGAAACAGAATGAGAGGGTGGTGGGAGCCAAACATGAGTTATCCCAGCATTAGCTAAATCCGGGATCAAGTTGATGAGGGAATTGTACCATCCACCTTGGTGCTTGTTTGATTCCCAGTTAAACCCCTAAACCAAAAAACATCAAACCAATCAAAACCATATATACATATGCATATACATACAGATAATAATATATATATATATATGGTGGGATATATGGATGATACCTGGAATAACACAGTGGAGCCAAATGCAGGAACAAAAGCGCAGGCAAGACAGAAGCAATATGAAAGAAACTGAAAAAGAGTACTCATTTTTTGTGGATTATTGATAGAACCCAGAAGTGAATTAAGGAGCAATGGTGAGATTAGGCCGGGGAGTTATTATTATATATATAGGTGGGAAGTTTGAGTGTCCAATTAGTACTGAAGATCAGATCAGATCAGAGCTTGTGAATTGGTATTGGCTTCATCTCATCTGATCTTGTTTCCTTTACGTTCAATCTACTGAGGAGTTTGGGCGGTTGCCAAAATGACGAATACATACGCTAAAGTTCATTGGATAACTCTCAAATCTGCTAAATCCAACCCAAAAACAAGATGCTTTATTTCACACTTTATATGACTTAAAACATTGTATTTCCATGAGTTCTAGATTGCTGACGTTTGCACATACAGACATCCCGATTTTCTAGGTTACTTATAGCTTACCAGCTCAACTCAGCTCCCACTGAAAGTCAAATTGAATTTGGAAATTTGTGGTTATTCTCAATCATTATATTGTGGATCAAGGTAGTTCAGTGACACAAAAATTAATTTTTAGTACATTAAACGTTTATTTTTTGAAAGTTCATTTTTAGTGTATTGAATGTTTATTATTTGATATATTATTTAAAAATGAACATTCAATACATTATGAAACTTCAGGGTTAACTGGATTGATAAAAGCTTTATTATTTGTTTTGCAGTTGTGATATCATATACAACATTTATTGCAAACAGGACTTATTTCTTAGTATCAGATTGATGAGAGATATTGTCCGCACATATTTAGCTCACTGGTTTAGTAAGCAGTATTTGAGCGAGGATTGATGAGAAATATTTATTTAAAATTGTTGATTGATGAGTGGAGATTTGTAGCCTCGATCATGTTGGTTTCTCCCACACTGCAAAGTCTTTGCCACTTGTTGCCAGCATAAAATCGGATGGAACAAGGTTTTTAAGATCACCATTTGGTCCAATCTTGAGAATAACTTTTCCATTAATCTTTGCTATGTAAAGATCAGCATCAGCTGCCAAGATTTCCACAGGACTTGTTGCAGAAACGCCATTCTTGTTCCTGATAGATATCAGCTTTGAAATCGCATCCTTCAATCCCCATTCAAAGAAATGGTCATAAAACTGCAGCAAAAGAGACAAGGCACTCATAGTTAGACACTCTAAAACTTATGTTTGATCATAGATTAATTTAGTCCCTCTTACTTGATTTCTGGGTCACCGGGGACTAAATTTTAAACAAATGACTTATCTAGAAGGGCAAAATTGTCATTTCTAATTCCTCGCAGCAATGTTTAAGAGTAAAGTAATGGGGAAATGACAATTTTACCTATTAAGATAAGTCACTGGAGATCAAATTTTGAGGAGTTTATCGCACTTTTGGTCCCACGATTATAGTGGCATTATCAGGTTATTCACAACTTTTAAACCTTGCAATCTCGGTTCTCGACTATTGTTTTTTTACAAAAATGGTCCTTCCGACTTATTTTCTGTCAATTTTTTGGCCTGCTTTTGCTGAAAATGGTTCTTACTCCGGTAAGAAATTGACAGAAAATGGACCGAAAGGACATAATAGTCGTAGACCGAGATTCTTAGGTTTAAAAGTCGTGGGTCAATTCTAATAGTGCAATTATAGTCGTGGGACTAAATGTGCGATAAACTCAAAATTGAGCCAGTAACTTATTTTGAAGGACAAAATTGTCATTTTCAATTTCCTTTACTAGAGGTTTAAGACAAAAGTAATAGAAAATGACAATTTTACCACGGATGGAATCCCGGGATGGGTGAGGATGTAAGCGTATCCCTGCAAAACCCTGTCGTGGTTAACGGCATCATCTGTGGAAGTGGTGAACGGCCAAAGCCTCTGCGACCATGTATCATGGTTGTCGATGAAAGTCACAGCACTCTGCGGCAAAACTCCGATCATCCCCGACGGCTTTCCGGCAGCGTCCTTCAATCTCCAGAGCTCGGTGTTATTCAGCGCGGCCTGAAGAATCCCCTTGGTCGTGAAATCAAACGCCGTCGCAGCCCCGCCGGCGTTCTGAACCCACCGGACCAGCTCATTGCGGTGAGCATCCTGGTTGTAATCCGGATTCGGAACACTCCCCGGCGAAAGAGCGTTCCATAACTCCCCGACGGCGAATTCCGGCTTCGTGTTGTCCATGTAGATCTTAACGGCGGCGAATCCCTTGACGAAATCGTAGCCTTTGACGTAATCGAATCTCCAGCCGTCGAATCCGACATCGGATTTCAGCCAGTTCATCCATTCCGAGATTTCTCGCTGCACTCTCGGACTGCGGTGGTCGATGTCCGGCGCGTCCCCCCACGGGTCGCCGGTGTCGGGATTTCCGGTGCCTTCGAACGCGGCATCGTCGCCGCAAATCTCGGAGGGGCCCCAGTCGAGTTTATCGTCGGGAGTTCCGCCTTCGAAGACGTTGAACACTCCTCTACTATTGGCTCTCTCGGCGGCTCTGTGATTCAACACAATATCGGCTACGCTTTTGATCCCGCGGCCATGGAAGGCGTCGTTTAGGGCTTTCAGCTCCTTCTTGTTCCCGTATTTTGAGGTATCCAAATCGTACATCCTTTTCGGCATGTATCCTGTCGTGAAAAGGTTGTATGATTAACGTGCGCCCAATGCGAATAAAATGAAGATATTGCGAGTATTGGTACCTTGGTCGTCGCCTTCCCGGGCGTTGGACGGCGGCGGAAGCCAAACGTGGGTGATTCCGGCGTCGGCCAAGTCTGGGACTTTGGTTATTAGCCAGTTCCACCATCCTCCTGGCTGGTCTTTAGACGTCCATGTAAATCCCTGCAAAAATGAGCCACTAATGATCACTTTTTGTATCTGTTTATAACTACTTTCTCAACCTGCTGAAGCACAAAGAGCCAATAACGCTTCCACGAACTTCAAACTCACAATTTCCTATATGGGAGTCCAATCCGGGTGCCATTAGACCACAAAGTCTTTGACCACTAATAATCACTTAATTTCACTCATTAGGTCAAACCAGGACCATCCAGCCAAATTGCTCGAGCTGTTGATTTCATATTCACGTACAAGATTTTAAGTCTCAATGAGAGCGTGTGGCACTTTGACCTAGCTTTTTTCGGTTTGACGAACGGGCAGGTCAATTAGCCTATTGACCTTTTAATTTGGTTTGAACTTGACCAATTGATCAGTTGGCTTATTGGTCTTTAGTTTTGATGATTTGAATGATCAACTATGAACAACTTTACCTAATTTATTTTTTTGTCGTATTTTTCTAATATAACCTAAAATCTTAGGGTTTAGAATATTTAATATCAGAGCTAGCTGAGTTTTTCACCTGTTGGAGAAACACTTACATGGCTCTCCATATATAATCATAGAGTTATTTAGATTCATGCATTATTTACTATATATGTAAGAGCAAGTACCTGGAATAGGACTGTTGAAGAAGAGTGCAGAGGGAAAAGAAAGAAAGCAATACAGAATAAAGAAAGATAAAATGAGGACTTCATTATTGTTTCTGGGATTTTGTTTGATTGATGTATATATGGATGCAATTCAAGGATAGGATGTGGTTATATATATACATATATATAGAGAGGGGGAAATAAAGCTGGCCGGAAAGTTCCAGCTTAACTTTTCTTCAAGAAAATGTAGACAACATTATTAAAGTTAGGTAAATGTGGAAATTAAGCTGGAAACCTTAGCTTGACTATTCTTTGAGAAGATCAGATGATTGTAATTGAGTGACTTAATTAATTACATTTTCGCATGTAATTAAATGACTTGTTTAAACCTCATTCATTTTTCTTGTCTTTGATATTCCAAAAATAGAGTTAAACAATTTGTACATTGAGAAGAGATTAGAGCACTATATTGTTTCAACCGCCCATCTAAAAACACCGTAATTAATGAAAACTTTAACGGAAAACATATAAAGGGACAGAAGAAGAGTATGTAAATCATGTGGAATTTGTGAAGTGTCTCTCATCGGATCGGACTTTCTGGACCGCCTCACGTCGCGTCAGTGTTGTTGACTGATTTGCATGGTGTTGGAAGAAAATTTAAGAAGATGAATATTCAATTTTCTGATATTAATTGTTGATTAAGACTCAAGCGCAGGCCCTAGCTACGCCGCCTTAAAGTCAAACACAACCATCTGGAAACTCATTCAATATTTCAACCTACGTGTTGTACAAGTGCTAAGATATTTTCTGTCGGTAATATAATCAACTGAATGATTAAGTGAATGAAATATGATTTTTTAATTTAAAAATTAGTTAATAGTTAAGTGGATATAAGATCCGTGAGACATGTTTAATTATTTAATATACTTATTTTTTTTCTTATGATAGAATCATAATAATATTTAAGAAAAATAATCAAATAGTTTCTTGAACATTATTCAAAAGTCAATTAAATCTTTAAACTTTTAAATGTTACAATTAAGTCTTTAAATATATCATTTTAAAGTATGAGATCCAAAAACTGGTTTGTGACCTATAATTATAGGTCACTAGGGTTCCAATAAACCTCTGACAAATTTCCGATCATATTCTAGCAAATAACACCAGTGAAACAGTGGTTGCCTTCTCCGACGAAGGAGACGCAGCATAAGGTTACCACCCTCACTCTCTTGTCCTCTACAAATTCGCCAAAACATATTATATACTCTTCCGACACCATCCCTCCACCGTCACTAAGAATATCATCTTGAAAATCGTAACTTGACACAATCTCACTCGACTTCAATATATATATATATATATATATATATATATATAGGTATTTAAATTGAGGTCCACTCATGAGTTAACTTTTATTGCGGAGTTAGGATCTTGATATCATTTGGTATTTTTATTGAAAGGTCACTGTGTAATAGGAAAGAGCTACCTGGCATATTCGACAGCTTCTTCCTTCAAAAGTCATTAAGAACAAAATTTTACTCGTGCACACCATCAATAGTGGCTACAAGTTTACCTTGTTACTCAACAAAGAAAAAAAAGTCACACAAGTAATAAGGGACTTTGTGCCTTATCTAGGAACTCTGGTTTTCATATCTAAACAATGGAAGACAAAGGCACACAAGTAACCCAAGTCCAACATCTGATTGTAGAGCAAATTGAGAGCAAACTGTAACACAAAATGATGCATAAGCAAAGAAAGCCTGAAGATCGTTGGTCAGATTATTAACTTGGTAACCACAATATTACAAGTCAAACTCTCAACAGTTCAGGTAGTGGCTTCGGGTTTCCCTCCCGACCCAAAAAAAGACAAGTTCACTGAGCATAGCTCAAGTAAAAGAAAGCTTGGAGATAAAAGTTCACTAAGCATAACTGGAGAAAAAGAGAAATGAAACACAAAGTAAAATATGAACTGTTATATTGAATAAGTTATCAAATGCCACAAGTACCATATCACATTAGACAGGAACAAGGATTCTTATCTGATATGAGATAAAAGATGGACAAATTCAAATCTTTTTTTAATTCTAAAGGATCCTTCCCTGCTCACATCTTAGATGGCTTTGGGAATATATCTGGTGTGAATTTTTGAGCTGCACTGATGCTTCCCTTGATCCTTATAGCACCCCTGAAAATATTATTAAAACAAAAAACAATCAAATTATCATAAAAACCCAGATTTTTTTTTTTTTTTTTTGGGTATGGCTTCCCAGATTCCTAAACTAATTCAGATTCAACCCAGGTTGCACCTAGAGTGCAAAAACCAGGAGCAAGCAAACTTATCATATAAAGCTTAGATTTTTCGGCATATGGCATCCAGTATTCCCAGACAAATTCAGATTCAACACCCAAGTCCAAAAACTAGGGGCAAGCAACTTATCATATAAAGCTTGGATTTTTTGTGACATGGCATTCAATATGACTAATTCAAATTCGACTCAAGTCTCACAGAGTTTTTATTAATTCGGATTTCACTCAAGTCTCACAGAGTTTTTACTAGGAGAAAACAAATTATCATAAAAAGCTAAGATCTTTATTTACATCAACAATAAATATAGGGCAAAACCATGGTTGCACCTAGAGTCCAAAAAACTAAGAGCAACCAACTTATCGTAATCGTATAAAGCTTAGATTTTGTGTGGTATGGCATCTAAGTATTCCGAGACTAATTCAGATTCAACCCGAGTTGCACCTAGAGTCCTACAACTAAGAGCAAGTGACTTATCATATAAAGCTTAGATTTTTTGTCATGTGCATCCAATATGACTAATTCAGATTCGACTCGAATCTCACAAAGTTTTTACTAATTTGGATTCAACTCGAGTCTCACTGAGTTTTTAGTAGGAGCAATCAAATTATCATATAAAAAAAAAAAATTTATATACATCAACAATGATATAGACTACCAAAATATAGGAGAAAAGCCGCACCTCATAAAAGCAATTTGGGGGTTCATCTTCCCCATAGCAATTTTAAGAAAATCATCATCAGTAAAGGAAAAGGTTGCATCAGGCTTCCCATCCTCATATTTCCCTAAATCCATCCAAAGATTCCATCAATTCCAGACCCGAAATTGTTCAATAATTTCCAGTTCACGAAATCAGATCGAAACTACAGTCAAATTATAATTTATAAACCCTAACCTTCTTTAACCTCCCCTTTCTTCAGATCAACAACATAAATCTTCTCATTAAATCCAAGCTTCTGTCAATCAACCAACCAACAAAACTCAAAATTAAAACACAATCCAATCCAACCAAAATCAGATAGAGGCAATTAACAAGCAAACGACCTTAGGAGCGACGTTGAGCTGGTAAACGAGGCCGATTTTCTTGGTGAGTTCCTTCCCGGCGTCGGAGGCGAGGTGAAGCTTCATTTGCTCCATGAGAGCGTCGGCCTTGAGCTGAGCGGCGTCGGCCATGGCGGCGTTCACTAGAATGCACTGACTGTGAAGAGATAAGCGCTAGATGGGGGATGTAAATTGCTATTGCTATAAATAGATGAATAATAATAGCATAATTAAATTGGAAGAAAAGAAAAATATAAAGAAATCGAGAAGCGAATGCAGCGTGGAAGCAGATTGCCTAACTGCCAGAAAGAGGTTGCATTCATTACCGATGGACACGCAGAGTATGGATTTCTGGTTGAGCACGTATATGATTGTGTGACGTAATCAAACACTCAGCCACGCGCGTTTTGCTTAGAGTTACCTACTCGCTTTTGATTAATGATTTAATTTAATGATAATGGGTAGTGTTTTTTTTTTTTTTTTTGAGATAAATAATGAGTAGTGTTTATTCAGTTAATAATTGACAAAAATACTTTTTAATTAAGACAATCGTAATTAATCAAAAAATTAAAGTTACAATATTTTAATATTGAGAGTATGAATTTGATTTAGGTTTATTGTATATATAATTTGGTGTTTAGAACTTAATTTATCTTTTTATGGACTTGAAAGTAAGTTTATAAAGTTTGCTTAAAAAAAAAGTTTATAAAGTTTAAAATATAATAGATAAATTTGAATTATAAAATTAAATGTAATAATTTTTTTTTTTAAATGTTAGAGGCATAGAGAGTAGGGATGTAAACGAATCGAGTCAAATATCTTGTTATTCGATTCGAATTCGACTATATATTCAAATATTCGTATTCGTTTAATATTCGACTCTTAAATTTGATTCGTATTCGATTCGATTAGGTAATTTGAATATATTCGATTAGAATCAAATATTCGAAATCAAAATAACTAACTTAATTTTTATTTTTACAAAATTCTCCAATAAATTAATAAAATGTAATAAAAATTTATATTTAAATAACATAAAATATTCAAATACTATTCGAATCGAACACACTATAATTCATTCGTATTCGTATTAGAAAAATTATTCGATTCGAAAAAAGAATTCGAATTCGAATCAACGTATTCGAATTCGAATTACGAATTCGAATTACGAATTGAATTTTTTTTTTATTTGATTCCTAATAATAGAGTGTAGGCGCGACGTTTGGAAGCAGCGATTGGTTGTTACGGGAGAGCGCCCATTCTTAGGCCATCACTGTTCACTAGAAATCAAAAAGTTGTTCGCTATCTTAAACTCATCCACCCAACCAAATAAAAGAACAAAACAAAACCAAATAACCATGGCAAAACACGAAGTGAATTTTATGAGTTAAAATAATATATTTTATATATTAAAATAATGTATATTATGGGTTAGAATAATAAAATTTTTAGAATAAAATAATGTTTTTATGAATTAAAATAATATTTATATAAATTATAAAAATGTATATTATAACTGATTATGTACAAAAACTTACACAAAATAACGTCGTTTTTAAATCGTGATTCTCACTATTGTGGGGACCTATATGGACCACGGTCCAGGTAATAAGTATATATTGAAATAAGCATATGAGGGGTTAATGGATCAATGATGGTTTGGCCCATACTGTTTTAAGAACATTCATACAGAAGCCCACTTTCTTAACTTTTGGGGCCAAAAACCAAATATGATAACCAATCATTATTGTGTGGACCATGGTCTACAGAAATTGTATAGATCATATTTTATCTACTGTAAAATAATGTATATTCAGTAAAAAAAATAATGTATATTATATTTAGGAGATATACATTATTTTTGTTTTAAGTGTACATTATATTGTATAATGTACATTCAATACAAAAATAATATAATATATTAAAAATGTACTTTTTATTATGATCCACGTAACATTTGGTCCACCCAATAATGCCTATGGGAACAGGGACCGTTGACTGAAAGTCAAAGTCCAAAAGGGGCACAAATGCAAACCTCATAAAAACTAAAGGATAAGTCGATAATGGCCTTATCCTGCCTTCTTATCCAAAAATCCAAAAATCGCTTCTTCTGCGACTGTCTCGCGCCATTGCTGCAAACCATACTTGGCGTCATGGTAAGACTTCTTCGTATAATGTCTTCCTTATGAATGTTAGTTGGTGTCTTCTTTCTGTTTCTTTTCTTTTGTTGGTTTGTAAGTTCTTGAAATGTCTGGTCTTTACACCGTACACTGAAAGATCTAGGAATCAGTTTATGAATTCTTGATAGTTTCAAGTTTCCGATATTTGTTGTGTATGTCTCATATGTACCAAACGATGATAGATGTTGGATGGAACGAAGCAGTGAAAAGAAAAAAAGAATAATGTAAGAATTATGGGTGGGAGAAGAAGTGTTTGGTAGATACGAGAATTGAAAGGGAAGAAGTGATATAAACACTAAAATTCCCTTATAATAATAATAGTATTAACTTCCTTTTTGGTAAAGTAGTAAATTATCCATACAACACATTTTTTCTTCCCATCTAGCTTGGGGTGGGGGGGGGGGGGGGGGGGGGCGAGGGGGTAGGATTTTCAATTTCATGGAAGGGGGGAATTGCAATTCCCACCATATAATTTTACATGTTAAAGAATTTGATAGGAAAGGAATTTCAATTCCTTTCCAACCAAACAAGCTCTTAGGGTTGCATATAAAGATGTTTTACCATTATAATTAATAAAAAAAAACAGTTTTCTGGTAGTCGAACCACATAAATCTTGTTTTCTTTAGTTTTGCCATTATTTTGCATTCTTGTATGTTCCTGTTTATCTCAACTACGACCATTATATTGTTGTTTATATATTGCTCAGTGTATGACATGAGAAACTGGATTGAAGAAACCATGGAAAGGTGGTGATCTCATATAGTGATATGTGAGAGAACAGTTGGTTCAGGTTCAAGGTTTTATATATTGTAAAAATTCTTGAAATCTACGTGGGAATGGTGGATGAAGAGGTTGATTTTGTAAGGTTTGCAACTTGCACTCATGCAAAGGCTGAGTGTTCTTGGTTGTAAGGCCTCTTTTGGCTTTGGGAGAAGCTTTAATGATCAAAAACTAGGTTGTTTAGCTGGATCAATATTGCCCATTATACGTAAAAATGCTATTGAGTCTTGTTATATAAAGACACGAGGTGTGTTTAGGCTTGGAAATGTCGAGAAACAAATTTGTGCAGTTAGGTCCTCGAGGATATGGAGTGTGAATAATGATAATGTTGATGAATTATTTAATGGCGGTGGTGATGAAGATGATGATGATGAGTTGTGCCCGGTTGAATGCGTGAGAGAATTTAACACGGATGAGGAATTCTCGAGAATAATGGAGAAGGCAAAGCAAACTGGCGCTCTGGTTGTGGTGGACTTCTACCGCACGTCTTGTGGCAGCTGCAAGTACATCGAGCAGGGATTCGTGAAGCTCTGCAAGGGATCCGGTGACGAAGAGGCACCCGTTGTTTTCTTGAAACACAATGTGAGTATTACTTTCATCCATTTTTTCCCACTTGGTCATGATAAAAGATCTTGTGTAGTTCGGTTTCCTATCCTGTCTTTATTGCATTAAGGATCCCGACACTAAATATGCCAATTTCTTAGGTGCTTGATGAGTACGATGAACAATCCGAGGTTGCAGAACGCCTTCGAATCAGGGTAAAACTATTACTTACTCACATCTCGTTCTATACATGAGTTTGAGTAGATTGATGTAACACTATCGCCTGCCAAGGATCTTGTGGTCTAGTGGCACCAGTTACTCTCTTATATGGGAGGTTGTGGGTTTGAGCCTCAGTGGAGGCCGACTATTGACTCTTTGTGCATTGTAACAGAGTCAGTAGTACCTTATCTAGCCGACTATTGACTCTTTGTGCACCTTATCTGAAAGAAGATTGTGATATTCCTTCTATAACACTGTATAGTTTTTTCGATTTGATGCAGTCTGTGCCCCTCTTTCATTTCTACAAGAACGGAGTGCTACTCGAAGCGTTTCCTACACGTGATAAAGAGAGGATACTTTCAGCCATTCTTAAATACTCGGGTTCTTCTCCTCAAGATGCTTGAGTTGATGATCTGGTTTGCATTTAGACCTTTAGAAATAATAGTCCAGAATATTTTGCCTTTGTACCTTATTATTCTTGGTGCTCAATACTAACGCTGGGCGCCCCTCCACGGTTTTCGTTTCCTTGAAATTGGAATTTGTAACGTTGTACCGGCATCTATGTTTTGGAGAAATTTATGTCATTTGTTCTCATGTTCTTCTGTCATGAGCATATTTTTCTCTTTGCAAAAAGTTTGTCTTTCTGTTTAGAACTGCATGTTTCTTGAAAGAGTTAGTTATTGCTGAATTTATGTCCTCAGTTCTCATATTCTACTGTCATGAGCATATTTTCCTCTTTGCAAAAAGTTTATTTCTATAGGACTGCATGTTTCATTCTTTCCAAACTTCACCTCTATGGCCAGTTGAGCTGCCCATGCAGGCAGGATCGCATGTTTTATGAATGAGTTATTGCTATTTTTTTTATTTTTTTTAATCTCACAAGTTTGGCGACATTCCCACTACTGGTGCACAACTATGAAAATTGTTGCTATAAATGCACGCCTCTGTTTTTCTCATTTTTGGTCCTTCCGGCGAGAAATCCAGTAGAATTTTGGATTTCTGGTTTTATCATTTTTCGTCCTTCTGGCGAGAAATTTGGCAAAATTCTGGATTTGTGTCAGTTCAATTGTATTACTCGTAACAAAATCAATGGAATTTTTCGTCAGAATGAGCAAAAGTGAAAAAAATTGAAATTTTGTAGTCGTACATTAATAATACTAAAAATGTCATCAATAGTGGGAATACCATCAAATTTGCAAAACTTAAAGGGGCACTATATATATTCATGAAATATCAAATTTAAGAAAAGATTTAAGGTATTTATTTCCCATCATGGTGTGAGAGCCACATTTCAACAGAGTACAAGGATGAATGTCTTTGATTGTGTGTGTCTGTCTGTCTGTGCTCTCCAGCTGAGAGCCCATTACTCTTCTCACTGGACCAATCACTTCCCAACATCTGGGCACCCTAGGGCCTCTGATATAAGCCTGGTAGGGATGCCATGGACACGTGGCAACTCTGAAGATCACAACAATGAACAATGTTCCATTCCAACACAGGAAAATCCAGATCAATTTTTTTTTTTTTTTTTCACAGGTCAAAAAAAAAAGGTAGAGACAAAGGAGGGGACACAATATATTCTTTCAATCAACTTTTTGGTTCCATTTCTTCTTCAATTGTAAAATGGTAAAAATGGCTAGCTGTAAAGGCAGGCAAAGCTGTGACAGGAGAAGTAAATGCCAGAAAATTGAATATATTATGATGTAGAGAGATTTTGGGTTATTGGGACATAACTTATTTCATGTGCCCAAACCCTAAAAATACAATCTTTGAAGCTAGGGTGAAAGAATATTTAGCAAATCTATCAGAAACACCCATGCTTCTGCTTCTGTTTCTTGATGATGATGATGGTTCCTTTTAGATTGAAGATTCTTTCCAAAATCTGGCTGGGAGGCCATTTTGAGGGACTGGGAATGGGGCATACTGAATCCCCTTTTGAGATCCCACCACTTCCCACCTGCAACACAAACAAAAATGCCCTTGTCAAAATATCATCCCCCCATTTTGCCTAAGATCCTCTCCTCTCTGTCACACTCATAATACAAACCATGACAAAAAAAAAAAAAAGGGTCCAGACATTTAAATCCTAGGTTGCCCATAGCTAACTGGCATTTAGGCCAAATGGGTGCAGACATTAAGATCCTAGGTTGCTCATAGCTGATTGGCATTCAGGCCGGGAGTTGAGCTGATTGGCATTCAGGCCGAGAGTTGAACTTATAACGTTGCAGTTATCAAGTTAACAGCCAGATTAGACCAATTTGACTGGGGTTACGTCGCTCCTTGACATCTAAATCTTTAGTCTTGTGTATATGGAAATTGGATGGACAGCAATACCTGAACTTGGTTACGAGGTGATGTGTCATCACTAACATCTCCAGCTTAGCAAGCTCGTTGCCCGGACACGCATGTACCCCGCTGCCAAATGGCATAAATGTATTGGGTTTTGGAGCATTCTGCATATATACACACCAATGAACATTCTTAAACCATGAAACTAGTGAAGTTAACAATTGCAAGAATGTAAAGTAAATTAAAGTTCATCTTATGTACCTCAAATCTTGAAGGCTCAAACTTCTGTGGATCAGTAAAGAAGTCTGGGTTATGATGAATGTTCCTGAACAAAGGCAATACCTTCCAACCTTTTGGAATTAGGTACCCTACAACACACATTCTTCCAAGTCTTAGCCTTTAAACAATTAAAGATATATATATATATATATATATATATATATATTTTTTGCCTTAGCCATCAGTTTACCTTGGTATTCTACATCAGCAACTGCCTCTCTGAATGTGAAAGATATGATGCTAGACATCCTCAACGTCTCCAAAACAACCTAAATTGCATACAGTTAAACTTTTAGTTAAGACAAGACACGTTAGACAATTCGGTTTGCGTGACAGGGAAACTCAGAGTCACTATTTGAGAGTGTGTACTGAGTAAACCCCACTTTATAACTGACAAAGAATTATAAGAAAATAAATTAATCTAAGTTATTCATAGCTGATCGGCTCAACATGCTTAGTCATCATAAACCCGGGAATTAATTATGTTTACCTTGTAAGTAGTCGGCATTTGTCTTGTGTCAGTCCACGTCAAAGGGCTATTCTCTACTGTTTTTGCCAGGCGGATTGCTTTCTGTTCAGCCTGCATAAGCATTGCGGACATAAATGCGCCGATAACAATGTTTTGTTTTGGCTCAAATTAAATCTTCCTGGCCGGGTTCTCGACAGCCATTAGAGTCTCAACATGAAAAAACATCTTGGGACCTTCTAGATCCTTCCTTACCTTAACGGCCTCAAGAAGCTTCGGATTGTCGTGAAGGTACTTGAGAATCCACGTGAGGACACTGGCGGTCGTGTCCTGCGCCGCGAACAGAACTCCGATGATGTTGTCGGCGATTTGGTCGTCGTTCAGAGTTTCCCCTTTCTCGTCGGTGGAACCCATGAAACAGCTCAAAAGCCCCTTCTCCTCCACTACCTTCTTCTCCTTCCTCTCATTAATGATTTCGCTAATTATGTTGCTCAGTCTCTTCCTCGCCTGCAGATAACATCAATGGCATTAACTACTGCTGGTTTATATTAGGTACAGAGTCTGATTGAATAACAACTTCTAGTCATTTAGTCTAAAGAACATTTTACATTGCAGAACAGAGATGGGAGAGTACCTCTAGAGCCTTCCTGTAGAGACTTGTTGGTAAATTGGTTGGGAAAGAATTGTACCCTTTGTTAACAATGGCGTAATTCTTCTTAAGCTCTTCTTTTTGGTGATCCTCAAGGTGTCCAAAGATTGCAAGAATCCCCACCTCGAACGAGAACTGAATGCAGAACAACCACATATAAATATACTATTAGAAATTATGGAATTTCCGACCACCTAAAAGTAATTTTCAATAATGATACTAACATATTCTGTATCTGCCGTTAATAACGTGATACGAAAATTGTGTACCTTCTTCATCTCCTGGAAAGTGTTGACGGCATGGCCGGCGGCGGCCCATGAGTCCAATGCGGAGACTGCAATTGCCTCAATGTCTGCAACGCCGCCGCGGATCGACTCCGGGCTGAGCGCCCCCTGCACCATCTTCCTCAGCCGCATGTGGTAGCTCCCCTGGTGGAAGAACAGCGCAGAAGGGCCTATCAAGCTCTCCTTGCTCTTAGGATATGTCGGCTTGAACAAGTTGGCCGCCGTCACTAACACGAACCGCGCCGCCTCCGGGCTCGCCAGCATAACGCAGGGATACCCCAGTATACGCGTCTTGAAGATTTCCCCATACCTGAAAACCCAACAAACAGCAACCCAGCCAAATTGGTCAGACCGTTTTAAGTTTTACTATTAAGTTGGTTGGTCAGTAGTCCTAAATTGGTTAAATCATTGGCTTGGTAATCACAATATTCTGAGTTTAACTCTTAATGAAAACAGTCTATTAAATTTCTTAGTTTGAGCCGATCAGTAATACAGTGCAGTGACTATGATTTTCCTCATAAAAAAAACATAGTTTCTACCCGAAATCTTTAAAATGGAGAAAAGACAGGAATGGAACCTTGTTTCTCTGTCAGTGAAGAAGATGCTGGGGTCTTGGGAGTAAAGTTGCAGAGTTTCTCCGATGTAAGGCCAGCCCATTGAGCCTGGAGGGAGCTTGGGCTTCTTCTTCCTAGGGTGAGCTTTGGTTCTTGTGAGTACGTAGAGAAATAATAGAGAGAGGGAAAGTATAATAGTGTAGACAAGGACGCCATAGCTTTCCGCCATTGTTGTATGTGTATGAAGATTTCAAGGTTTTGTCGTACTACTACGTTTGATATTAAGCCTAATAATGGTGAGAATGTTGTTGGAATGGGAAGATTTGAGTGACCAACAAATGCAGAGGTTGGCTCTATATATAGGAGAGGATCGCCAGGCCCAGATGTGACCATTTTTTTTCTTCAGAATAATAATAATTATTATTATAATCAACTTTTATATTCAATGGAAAATAATAGACCAAGCCAGCACGAGCTTATCTCATTGGTTTAGTAGACCATATTTAGGAAAAGAGACTAAGGTTCAAATCTCAGCAGCGGTTGTGTGGGGATTATGCCCAAAGTGAACAATCTCTTGTAAGCACCGGCATTTGACCCTGTCAGTTGAGTCACCATGATTTTATCCTCCTAAATGCTATGTCGGGTCTGGATTAGGGAGTCAACCTTTTGGGAGAAGAATAATGGACCAAAAGCCCAAAAAAATTAATCAAGGCGAGAAGACATTTTGTGCGAATAATATACGGGCACAGGTAAAAACTAAGGACTGATTGTGTGATTCGCTATTTACTTCTTTCAGCCTGAGATTTCTAGGGACTTAGAATTGGTTTACCGAATGATGAAAAATCTAATATATAAAGAAAGGGGGACATAATAAAATGAAAATTTGAGAAATCTAGCTAGAGTGATTGTAGTCTGTGTACTATGTACTGGATATCTAATCCTGATCTTCCTAAGTATTTTATGTCCTGTGTATATAGTAAATTATTATTCTCGTAATATTTTTTTTTTCCATTTTATGTGAATATTTTAATTAAAGATGATTGGCTTACATTATTTATAACTTAATTTTTTCTATTATCTTTAATTTTAATTTAAGTTTGTATATTATTTAATTTATTATTAGTGACTAGAATCTACATATTTAAAAAAAAAATTACTTTTTAATAAAAGTTCAGAGACAACATTTCAAAAAAAAAAAAAAAAAAACACTACATTTCTAAAAATTACAAAAATAGGAAATTAAAACTTCGACCTTACACATGTACTAGTGATTTGCTCACTATGTGTCTCAACTCTCAAGTTAGTGAGTTATGATAATCAACTTTTTATTCGATCATTAACGACTTTGAACATATTGTAAATATGTAAATATAATGTGTAATAATTATATTTCAAATAAAAAGTAATCATATTTTTATTATTATAAACATAAATTATAAATTTTTATCTAAAAAAACACACACAGAGACATCCTTAAATAAAATACTCCGTAAATGTTTCCACGACATAACATTGGCTTGTGTTGTAACTGCTTAATAATTGACTAATAACTACTAAAATCAATATGATTCCTGTCCAGCCGCCAGCACATTCCTTTTGATTTATTATTATTTTTTTATAGAAAAATTTGGGGTTCATGTGAGAAAATTCGAGATTATTTATAAGTACTTATAACGCTCCTAACTTTAGGTATGTCTCTCTTATGCTCAAGGTAAACCCAATTTACTTATTGTCACACCTTACTTATCTCTTTCTCCGACCATATTGATAAGGCAATTGACAATCATGTTTTGCTCTCTAAACATGTGTTTAACCTTAACATTGTAATCCTTCAAAATTTCCTCCCTACATTTTTGACTTGATTCCTCCCTAGGACGAATGTGAAATTTTATAATATTATGTATGATATTTATATTTTGTTTTAAAATTTAAATAATAATTATATTATATATGATGTATCTATAAATTAATTACACCAAATTATGACTATTAAAATCTATTATAATTCAACTTAATGGATCGGATTCTGTTGTCATGTCATTATATTTACAATTCACTAATATTTTCTTAATTTATTATTAAAAAAGTTAAAAAATTATAAAATTGTCACTCCAAAAAAAAAAAAAAAGTTGTCAAAATAATGTTTGCAAGGTTTGCAAAATGACGCCAGCTTTGCAAATATTGCTTAAGGACCCGCTTGGTAACATAGTTAGTTTATCAGTTAATTTTAATTTATTTGTTACTATTAGCTGTTTGACTTGGTTAAACAATCAATATGAATGTTCGATTAATTAGTTTTTTTGTAGCAGCTTATTGCTCCAAAATGTTAAAATTAAAAAAGATGCTCAAATCAACTTTTTGAGAAAGTCATTTTGTATATAATCTAAGTATCAACTAACATTTAATTTATCAAACACTTTTCTACAATCTGCTAATGCTATCAACTAGTCAAACTCACCAACCCAATCAGTTAATAACTATCAATTAACAGCTATTTACCAAACACATCATAGTCAATCTCATAATGCATGCATAGTTTCAAATAGCGCCATTGCAAATTATATATTACGGAATATTTGCTATGTTATATACATGGCAAATTATGTCGTGCATCAGGGCGCAAAACTCAAAATGACGTCGTTTTGTATTTTTTTTAAAAAAATTCGTTTCCTGTGTCTGGTATTAATTTCTTTAAAAAAAAAAAAACAAAATTTCTATATTTCGAATATACATAATTGTATAATAGAATATACATAATTGTATAATAGAATGTACATAATTATATAACAGGATACACATACACTTTTTTGAAAAGATAATACACATAATCTAACATAATACATAATACACATAAACCCTTAACATAATACACATAATCTAACATAATACATAATACACATAAACCCTTAACATAATACACATAAACTCTTAACTCTTAAAAAAAAATTCTCTATTTTGAATGTACATAATTGTATAATATAATATACATAATTATATAACAAAATACACATACACTCTATCGCGTTAATTTCCTACACAATTTAACAAAACGACAACGTTTTAGTAGGATGGAGCGCACATTACATATATGCTATGGTGCACGGTATAACGGTTGGTATATACACACGTACAAACAAACTACAATGTAATGCGGCCTTATTAGGACTATAAATCTATAACTACTCGAAGCTATTCAATGAATACTTCAATAGTCAATAAAATATTTTCACTTTAGAAAATAAACTCAAAAACATTTTAAATTTTAGTATATAAAAAGTTAAAAAAAAAATAAATAAATTATGAAAGTCAAATCAGCCTGAACTACACTTGTTAATTAATGGGCATGCAGATGACTTGACGACATGGACTTAAAATTCTTGGATCACTGTACTGAACCAATTCAAATAATATCTAATGAATTGAATCTATTAGGATAATTCATTCACTAATATTCCATCAAATATGAATCTTTTCAAGTCATATAATCTCAATAGTCATTAGTAAATACTGAGAATATCTTATCTTGAGAGCATTTATATCTGTATATATTGCAAGAATTTTACACGGATTTTGAGAAATGCAAGGTGACATGGATGAGTGATAATGTCGAAAGAGGGAAGAAAAATACCTCCCGCAAATTGGATCTTTGCAGATTTGTGGGCCACATTATTTCAATTTACAGAGCTTTTAATGTTGCGTGAATACTAAAATCGCGCCCAGCAAGACGCGTTAAACTAACTAAACAGATTTTGTTTTTTCTCTTTCATCACGTTTTCTCTTTCCTAATCACATTTACAAAAACTCACAAAAAAATCCTACTATACTATTATACATACAAATAAAAGTTATTTAACCGCCCCAACTCGATTAATAATAATTAACAACAAAAGTCCAGACAACGATTATTATATTAAAAAATATAGGATGATTAAGAACGATAAATTAAGAAGAAGAAAAAAAAAAGAATTAATAATTTTGTGATAGTGTGTGAATTAATCTCATTTGTCCATCTAGATAAGATGATCAAGAGTTGTAAATTAAAGACAGAATGAGAAAATACTACGTCATTATGTAATTAAGATAGTGCATTTGGAAACGCTTTATAATGTATCCGCTGATAACTAATAGTACACACACGTGAATACACTATTATAGATTCTTAGTGCATTGTCAATTATTCATGAATGCACTATGCCGTTCTTCCTTTAAAATTTTTAACTTTGGATCATTTTAGATAGACAAATGAGATTAGTTCGCATATTCTCCCGAGACGGATAGTTTTCATATGATTATTTATATAACATTCTTCCAAAAAAAAGAAAAACAATCTTCTTAAATTTACAAAAAAATCACAGCTCCTACCTAAATATGTGCTCTAAATAAATTTCGGATTTTAATCGGTAAATGATTCTAAAGAGATAAATGAATTTAGAAGACAAGTGTCCTCTTATCAATTATGTCTGGGCATGTAAGTACGATGTTAAACACTATGAAAGATTCGAGAACACGCATTATATTCCAAAGAGACAAGCATGTGCATGTTGTCTGATACTCCAAAATATAATGTATGTCACCACTTACTTTACATGCACTGTACTATTTTAAGGTTCTCTTGGTTTAAACTTGTTTTAGATGGACAATGATTCAACTTTGACTCTTTTAAAACTATATATTTATATATGTCTAAACTCATTTAAATTATATTGTTAGGCAAATAATTTTACTTACCCTAATAAAGAAATTTGTTTTGCATGTATTTATAGTGAAAGTATATATATATATATATATATATATATATATATATATATATATATATATATATATATATATATATATATATATATATATAATTTGAAATGTTGGTATTTAATATAGGAGATGGATCATGTGAGAACCAATTGCCCAGGAGAGAACTGAAAACCAATCGCAGCCATCCACGTGTCCATATCTAACAGATCAGAAACACTATTTTTTTTTTTTTTTTTGCGATGACATTTTTTGACAATTTTTGCCCGAACCCCGTTTCATTATTTTTGCCCGAATGCTGACCTTGCGGCACGGGTTCATAGGAATTGTATTGGAGCTCCTTTTGCCCATGGTGACTGATTTTTGCCTTGTCCCCCGGGCTTCACCCTTCCTTATTGTAAATTAAAAAAAAAAAAAAAAATTGTAGACATAGCATGACTTAGTTCCACCTGGGATTATATTATTGTTCTTCTCCATCAATGCAATAATTCACAGTTTTTCTCCATTTCTAAATCTGGTAAATCCAAATCTACATCAGATCATGCCCATCCAATATCATATCCTTTCGATCAGGTT